ATTTGTTCACTGAACTCAGCATGTGGTGTACTCCAGTCTTTGACTTCCTGCTGCAACTGAAAAGTCAAAACACATGAATTCCTATGGGTTAGGTAGGGGTTTCTGCACTGGATACATTAGGACTACAAGACTTAGACAAAGAAATAGAGAGCCATACTCCTCGGTAGACTGCCTCAATGGAGGGGTTTGAGACCTTGGTTAAGAAAGAGGGCAGAGTGGCCCCAACTCTCACAGCTGCAGTAAGAACATCCAAGCTATCAGGAAGTTGACCCTGTTTTATTGCATTCCCCAGAAAATTGCTGTCAATTCAAATAATTTACCTCTAGCAGGAATGACTGGGCACATATTACTGTCTCCTAAATTTAGATTCCTTATCATGTAATCTTCCCTTGGCCGGTGAATCAGTAACTACCCAAAATATAATCATAAAATACTTAATTTTCTGGTTTAAAAAGTTTCTTTGAGGCTATGCAAATTAACAACTGATTGATATTTGATAAGAAAAGCAATAATCCAAAAATCAAAAACAGATGGAGAACATATATATGCACTCAATTTGGGGAGCATTGTTTAAACTTTGCATATCTAGAAAAGGTTCTACATGAATATTCCTTACCTCAGAAACATATCCAAGAAAGATACAAGATTATGATATTCACTTCTCTAGTTTACATTATGTATGACATCAAATTTTCTTTACCTGCTCTTTCTCCTTCTTAAGCATGGTATTTTCTTTCTGAAGCTGACAGCATTCCAACTTCACCTTCTCTTCACGAAGCTTAGCTTCATTAAGGATAATTTGAAGCTAATGCAAAACACTATAGTTAGTGAATTAATTCCAAAAATAACCAAAGTTATACTTTCCCAAACCAGACATCATATAGTTCTCATTTTTTGCACATTTTAGCACACCTCAAATTTTTGGTCCGCAACAAAACTAAGATGTAATATTAATATCCATTAGCAAGAGTTGGCAGCTTTACCTCTGAAAGTTCAGAAGTATTCTCTGAAATGACATCTTTAAGCTTCTCTATAGATTTCTTATTTTCCATTATCTGCCAGGTGAAAACAGAACACAAAATATACATTAGGATTTCAGTAGAAATACTGATATATATACTAAAAAAGATAAACACAACAAAATATTTGTCAAGCCATCCCATTACATTTCAGGTTAATGCAGGGGATCCAGCTTTGGACTAAGCAAAATTCAAGAACTGAAAGAGATGAGGGAAAATAAAGTCATAAATATTTCATGGCATCCACAACCTTACTATTTATGAGATAACCAGAAAAAAATGTCAAAGTATAGAAAACCATAATGCAATAAGTAAATAAAATGTTTTAAAGCATAGAAAATTAACTAATTAATTACTGTTTCAAGTAAACCAGTTCAAATTAGTAATTTTTTTTCTAGTGATAGAGAAAAA